TTTTTTTTTTAAACATACCTTGCCCAAAACCAAGAGCTCCATATACTCCAAGATACATGTCTCTTCTTGATTCTTCATTTACTATTGTACCATTCACTGAAGTCATATTATCATCTGACCACTTACTCAGCCAAACGTTTGATCCAATACTGAACGATTGGAAGACAGCATTCATAATTATCGTAGATATTGATAGGAACCATCCAATAGATTTAAAATAATGCGAATACACTTTCCACTTGACCTAATTTTTACAAATCAATATTTAACATTTTCTAATAACAAAATATTTTCATTATATATATATATATACATATATGTATTAAATGATTTTTTTTTTCTTACACTGCCAGTTTCAGCTTTTTCTACTTCAATTAATTTTTCACCTTTCTTCGGTTGTAATGCAGCTTTATCTTTCATATTTTTTCCAGATAATAAGTTTACAGATTGTTGACTTTCTGTAGAATATTGCCTATGGGAATGATAAATAAATATAATACTTATTTCATATAATTTTATTATTATTATTATTATTAACTGGCATTAGGAACTCAAAAGTTCATTGCAGCAAATATCAAATCCCGCCATTGTTCCCGTCCCTGAGCTTGACCCTCCATTCGCAGTCTTCGCAGTCTTCGTAGCCTAGTTCTTTCAGGTCCCTTCTAATATTATCCTCCAATCTACGTTTAGGTCTACCTAGTGGTCTTTTCCCGTTGGTATACCGACCAGTATTTTATACACCGTTCGATCCACCCCCATGCACGCCACGTGACACCTGCCCATCTTAATCGGCGTGATTTTACGACGTTGATAATGTCCGGGTTTGTTGTACAATCGATGTACTTCTTCAACGTTATGGAGTTTTCTCCATTCGCCCGTTTCCTCATCGCATTTTGCAACCGAACATTTTACGAACAACTTTGTTTTCAAAAACTCTAAACTTCTTTTGGGCCCGTAACGTAAGTGACACCACGTTTCGCTACCATAAAGAACTACCGGTAGGTTGATTGTCCTGTATATCCTGATTTTTAATCACCTAGATAGTCCGACACGAATTCCCCAAGGTTGTCCCCACCCGGAGATCCAAACGGGGGACTAGTTTACCTCCGGAAAATTGTACCCTAGTAGAATCCATGTCGGTTTTCGTTGTTTCTTGATAAAGTCTTTTTACGGAGTGGGGTAATCAGACCTACCCTACCCAACCCCCGAACAGGAGGGCCAATTCCAAGTCGGCTGTCCGCGACTGCTTATTCAATTTATTCGCAGCTAACCTCTGTCCCTATGCAGTACCAAGAGGCCCTTCCTCTATCCGCAACCTGAGGACGCGCTGTGTCGTGGTGACTGGGACCCACCCACCCCGGGGACCACTACAGACTAGTTTTCCTTCCCCGAGACTAACAGCTGTTATGCTAACACAGATTTCATCTAATTTAATGATCATTAATTTAATCTTACCTCTTGAGAGAACCATTTAATGATCTTCTATCAGTTATTGATCCTGATTCACTTTGACTTTCTGAAATTCTTGATATAGTACGTGTTAATTTATCTTGCAATTCTTGGGTAACGATTTTTGATTCCAATTGCTGCTTAATTTCATGTAAATCTGCATCCGAAGCATCATCAGAGTGCACTGTTCCAAATTTGTCAGGTCGATGTTAAAATATAATTAATATATAGAATGTATCATTGAATAATTATTGAAAATAAATATAAAGGCATAACTAAAAGAAGCTAATTTATTAGGGTCAATTTATGCTATATTTTATAAATTAGTTTAATTTAAATTGTGCTACACACACACTCAATCAAAATATATTATCCTTTCAATAAATAGGATTTGAAAACAAAACAAAAAAACCACAGCTAAATAATTAATGAATATTATTAATTACAATTTGTCATGCATTTCTTTTTTTTTTTTATTTTATTATTTTTTTTTTTTTTTAATGTTATAGCAATACTATAATAATATACGCTGCAATCACGGATTTAATGTATATACTTTGAAACAAAACAAAAACAATAAATGAATGAATAAATTTGAAAGCTACTACTCAAGTAAAAAAAAAAAAAAAAAAAAAAATATATATATATATACTTCAATATAAATAAATGTAATAATAAATAATTATTAAAGCCGAGTGCAACATAATATTTTAAAAGAATAGCATAAATAGGAAATAGACAAAAATTCGTAATTACTTTTTCACTAACTTACGATTTCCAACTAAGACCCATGGAAAAATATAATTTTAATTATTAATGATCGATATATTGAAATTTATTAAAATGATACAAGATAATTGATAATAAATACCTTCTTGTAAATGTTGCATTAAAAATTCAGCAAAGGCACCCCTTTTGTCCATAAGCTGTTTGTATGTTCCATTTTCTGTTATTTCACCATCTTTAAGAACAAAGATATTGTCAACTTCCGGTAGATAAACAATATCATGCGTAATGTGTACCCTTGTCTTTTTCTTTAACAGACCACCAGGGCCTACCACATTTTCAAATATATGTTTTCCAACATGAGAATCTACTGCACTTAAAGGATCATCCAAGAAATAAATGTCTGATTCATTATACACTGCTCTTGCTAATGCAACTCTTTGTTTTTGACCACCGGACAAGTTGATACCCTTTTCACCAATTTCTGTTTGATCTCCTGCAGGTAACATTTCAAGATCTGGACCCAACATACATGCATCTATAACTCGATTGTAAAAAGCTTTGTTTAATGGTTTTCCAAACAAAACGTTATCTTGCAAAGTTGCATTTTGTATCCAAGCTTGTTGAGAAACATATGCAACAGAACCCTACGAAAAAAAACATAATGAATTAAAACAAATCTTGAAATAATACGAATAATATTTAACAAAGTTAATGTATTTACTTTTGTATTAACACGACCATTTAATTTTTCCATTTCTCCAAGAAAAGCTGATATCAATGAACTCTTTCCAGATCCAACTGATCCAACTACTGCTACTAACTGACCTTGTTCTATGGTCATATTGATATTTTTTAAAATTGGTTTATCACTATTTTCCATGTCCCAAGCAAAGCTGCCATTCTCAATGACTAATGGATGTACTAAAAAGTAAAAAGTATAAATTATAATGAAATTTTTCATTAATATAAATAAACGATAAGATATTTTACATTTGACTTACATTCAGATGGATCATGTTGTACATTATTAGGATCAAGTTCTTCCGTGTTCATGAATTTATTAATACGTTTAATGGAAACATAAGCCTAAAAAGCAAATAAAAAAAAAAAAAAAACCATAAGATTATTGAGATAATAATATGAAAAAGATTTATATTTTTCTATAAACTTTAAGTTCATTACCTGAACTATATTACCTATCATCATAGGTAACATAGAAAGCGGGAATCTTAAAATATTGAATAAACTTAGTGAAACAAATGCAGTCTCACTGTCTAATACATTTTTTTCATCAATAAGTACATATGTAGCAAAAGACACCAATGAAACCTGAAAATTAACAAAGACAAATAATTTCATTTAAATTGTTTTTATTTTGTATATAATCTTAATATATATAAATTACGTGTGTCACGTTGTTTGTCCGCAATGGACTCTTAAACTACTGAACCGATTTGAATAAAATTTTGCACACTGTGTGGAGTTTCATTCAACTTGAAAGATAGGATAGTTTATATCTCAATTGATAATCGCAATAAGGCGGTATAAGGTAATTCGTTGACTTAAAGACGTGTGTATCGGACTGATAGTGAGTCACAGCATCCCTCCTAGTATAAAATAAAAATAAACTTACCAAAAATGGTGCACAAGACCAAATAAAACTCGTTCCTGCATTAAGATATGCTGCTTCTTTTAACACTTGTATTTCCTTCTTTCTAATGTGTAATATTTGTTCTTCAAAAGATGGCTCCCAAGCATATAACTTCAACACTTTTATTCCATTAAGTACTTCATTCATTAATTTAACTCTGTCATCTTTGTCCTTCATTTGACGAATTTGTAATGTTTTAACTTTATTAGCAATTAATGCATTAATAGGTATAAGTACAATCATAACAGCTAATCCAGCAAGCACAGCTGGACCTAATTTCTCCCATAAAAATGACAACGCTAAAATAATTTGTAATGGTGCAGACCAAATCATATTTATATATGCTGTTAAATCCATAAACCTCTGTGCATCGACGGACATTAAATTAACTATTTCACCAAGTGTTGATTCTTTTCTAGCTGAATTTGACATTCTCATTGCTTTTCTATAAATAGCTGTTATCAGTGCAGTACGTATACGTAATCCAACTAAAAACATACGATGAAAATATTGCGATAACACTAAGGTTTGTAATGTTGCCGTAATTAAGAGTAAAAGTGCATAAAAGTAGCCCTTCCATAATGGTTCACCACCACTAACAAACCTAATAAGTAATCTGAAAATAAAATAATATTATTATGTAAAAACAGTCAAAATTATTAACAATTAATTATATTAATTTTATTTATACTTACTTTAACAATTGTGGACTAATAAAACTCATGATATCTTGTATAAGTTTAAGTACCGCACCAAATATAAAAGTTGCACCAAAAGCCTTACAAAGTGGTGGTAAAATAGAAGAAACTTTCTTCCTAGGAGTATTATTATCAAAATTAACTTGACCAGATGATTTTCTAAATGACGCTTTAGCATTTTGTACACTAAAAATGAACAAAAAAAAGACAAATCCTATTTAATATTCTTCTTCTAAATTATCGGAACATGTATTATTATTACATGCGCTTACCTAAAGTAAGACCAAAATAGCCTTGTTAGCCAAATAAATAAATAATTCATTATTGAATTACATGCGCTTACCTATACTTTATTGTATGTATATCATTATTTAGTATATATATATATATACTAAATATACATACAAAGCTAAATATATCAAACTACAAATAGTGATCTAAAAATAGTGATACTTACTTATCTTCTTTTCTAGAGTTTTTACTCCAATATGTAGCAAACTTTGGAACTATCTGAGAAGCTGTATCTTCAGGATTCATAGACCATAAATTATTAGCTTCTAAAGGTTTTTTAAAACCTTTCCATGCAAGTGCATCGAACCATGCGAAAGTAAGTCTCGATGGAAATGATGAATTTTGTTCTGGACATGGTCTTTCCACCTATTTATTAATACAAAATATATTAAATATTAATATTTATGTTTTAATCTTTGTTTACTACCCTTCCTGGAGTAACACGCTTACCACACCCGGGTCCTTTGGACCCGGACGAGGAAAATTGTTATAAAACAAAAACTATTGCATAGATTTACTTCAACATTTTTTTAAGAATTCTTTAATACTTACTTAAAAAGATTATATAGATTTTATAGCTTTAAATTAAATTGAAATATGTTTAAGAAAATGACCAAAGTTGAGTACAATTGAGAAAAAATGACTCAAGTTGCAAAAAAAAGGTCTGGGTTTTTTGGACCCAAGTGTGGTAAGCAAAGGTTAATCACAAGTATTGTGTGTAAAAAGTATAAGAAAAAGAATTAATAAATTTCAATCGTACCAATGGATATTCCGAATATTTAGGCTCTGCGTCAACAAAGAAATTTAATAGGAACATTGACAATATTAAACTGTAATAGATCATATATGATACAAACAGGTACGTCAGTTCCTAAAACGAAATAAAAAAATATTTTATTTTCATTTGTATTTGAATAAACTTATAAAAATAAAGCAAGTAAACCTACTTCGTTTGAATATTGTATTAATAAACTTCTTAATTGCACAATACCGCATAATACAAGGAAAAACCAAAATAGAAATAATAATCCTGATGTACGCATTCCATACTTTTTATTGTAGAATAGTAAAACTCCTGCTAAAACCTAAAATTAAAAATATTATTGAAATAATTAAATATTCTAATATTTATAAATCTTTAGATTTCTTTCAAATAATAAAATACAGGATGTCATGTAACTGATAATCAAACAGGATGTGATACTACATGAAAAACTAAGTTGAAAATGTATTATAGAATGGACATTTTATAAGTAGACGTACATTTTCAGTTTGACAGACTTCATTATTTTACTCTAGGACAGGGGTCGGTAACCTTTTGAGTCAGAAGAACCGAAAATTACAATTTACAAAATTTCAATGTTTCACATTCAAAGAGCCGCATGTGGCTCGCGAGCCGCAGGTTGCCGACCCATGCTCTAGGATATTTCAAAGAACATTTTCGAATTTCTTAACATATTTTAAAACATTTTCAGAGTATAATATCTTCTATGCTTATCAAAGAAAAACTTTAGTTTTCAAGTTGCAAACTCAATCAAATACTCGACAAATGTTCCAACTTATTTTAGTTACAAACAAAATCTTCTATGAACAAATTTTACTAACTTGTATCATCAATCACAGGACACCCTATATATATTTATATATGAGTATTTAAAATAATAATATACTTACAAAACTAACTATTTTTATAACAGGGGTAACGTAATCTACATTGTATACAGTCTCATAAGGAATATTGTGTATTGCTTTTCCTAAATCAACAATTGTAAGCACAATTAATGCCGCAGTAAGTACTTGCTTAGAAATATATAACCACGTGTATGGGATATTTTTTCTTCTACTATTTAACAGATAATAAACTTCCATAGCAGAGAATATCCAAAGAAACAAGCATGGTACCCATATTAATACAGTTTTTTGAAAACATTCTGTTAAATCTGGATCATCCGTGTTCCATGTTAAATTAGCATCCTAAAATATTAATTTTATTTTTAATTTTTCACATTTTTTTTATTTATTAATTTATAAATAATTAATATATATATATATAAGTATTGCTATAACCAAGAAATAACTTTTGTAAGAATTTTGTTAAAAAGAAAAAAGAACAAATTATTTATTAAAATTATCATAATATTAGATTTAAATAATTTATAGGTTATGATTTTCTTAATTAGGGGATGAAAATGGTATTTTAGTATAACCAAGGTTATAACTTTTGTTAAAAAGTGTAAAACAAAAATAAAAAGAAACAAATTATTATAATAATAGATTTAAATAATTTATAGGTTATGATTTTCTTGATTAGGGAATGAAGTTATGTCAAGGGATGAAAATGGTATGTTGATATAACCAAGGTTATAACTTTTGTTAAAAAGAATCAAACAAAAACAAAAAGAAACAAATTATTATAATATTAGATTTAAATAATTTATAGGTTATGATTTTCTTGATTAAGGGATGAAGTTATGTCAAGGGATGAAAATGGTATTGAAAATAAAGATTATATAATGGTTACTTAATTAAGTGATACAAATATCATAAAAATTTATCTTGAAAAAAAAAGAAAATTATAAGATGCAATTAATTTTATTATCATTGACAAAAAATGTAATTTATCTGATATAAAATAGATAATATAAAGATATTTATGATCAAAACTTTTTTTAAAACTCATCAATTTTTATGTCAATACTTTTATGTTAAAATTAAAGAAAAATCAAGAAATTTTGTAAACGTTCAAATAAATAAAACGGAACAAATAAATAAAATGTATTAATAAACTCACCCAAAATTTGGATCCGCAAAATTGATCCATAGTTTGACTTTCCATATCGATACATTTAATCTTTCACTGATCCTTCCTTGGATATTTCTTGACGTTAAATAGATGAGATTATCTTGAAGAATCTAGATAAAAAGAATTTGTAAAATTTGGTTGAATAATATGGCACATGCTATTCGAGGCCAATACACCTTTCTCTTTCCCTTTCTCTCTCTCTCTCTCTCTCTCTCTCTTTCTCTTTTTCTTCCCCTCTTTCCTCCCACCACTCAATCAACCCATTATCATCTATTAGTTTCATCTTTTCTTTTTACAAACGAATAAATGCATGTCATCGTTACTCGTGTGATTAAAGAAGAAGAAGAAGATTAAAAAAAAAAAAAAACAGAAAGGATACGTTTAATTATAATTTCAATGATTAATTCATATTTCTCTTATTTCTAGTAGAGAAAAAAAAAAAAAAAAAAGAAGAATAACGAAAAGATATTAATAAATTGTAGACAAAAAAAGAAAAGAAAAAAAAAATGTGTAACCCCAACAAGAGAAATATATTATCACAATCACACAACACTCACCTAACGCACGAGGTGTAATTTAGAATTTCTGTCTATCCGATCATTCGTTTAGAAATTAAAATCAAATTCTCTTATTTTTAAGTCTTGATCTTCGATTTTTCTCTCTTTCTCTATCCCTTTCTCTTTCTGAACAAGTCACAAAACTACGAACAACACATCGAACATCTCTCATTAACGAACAAACAATGACTGCAATAAATCGCGTTCACGCTACATTGAACTTTGCGACGACCACTAACGCGAATCCCCGTTGGGTGAAACTTTAAAATGGCCGACAGATGGCTCCATTAATAAACTCAGTCACTGCAGAGGAATTCAACCAATGGGATTGCTTAGATGATGTCATTTAAACGCGACATTGATTGTAACATTTCAAATTGTGCAATTTGTTATCTTGATATATATTTCTTTTTTTTCTTTTTCTTTTTCTTTTTTAATAATACAACTTTTAATGTATTTATAATACTTATTTAGTTCTTTCATTCTTTTTCTTTATACAAATATAAAATTTGTTTTAACAAAAAAAAAAAAAAAAAAGAAAATAAAGATAATAATATTTAATTACATCATATTTACTAAGATAAAATAAATTCTTTGATAAACAATAATTATTATGTATATTTATAGTTCGCATATAAATAAATAAATGTTTATAATTTCATTCTTATTTCTGTGTTTTTAATTATACAGTAGATATTTATATAACATGTTTTATAATACTTTCTTGTGCAATAGTCGTATTTGTCAGCCAATTATGTCTCTCTTGTTATCTTTTATCTATTTAATACATAAAAAGAACACAAAAACTTTGTCTCATTACGTCTCCCATCCATCATTATGAATATAATATCAAAAAAATATATATATATATATATCAAAGCAAAAGATGGAATTCTAATTTCATCACATCCAATTTTATCGTTGTATAAAAATACTTAAATAATTGTTTACACGCATAACTACTACTACTCGTTAATGGATGTTGTTTTCAATTGTTTTTGCAAAAACTGAAAAATACAATTCGTATTTATGATTTATGAATATATAAATAATTACAGAAGTATTAACACATACAAAGATAAAAAGAGAAAGCAAACTGAATGGTGAATATATATATATATGTATACAGCTTCTGTAAAGATGTATTCACTATCATGGATTTACTTTGATTTATAAGCCCGACCTTGAAAGTCTTACAAACAGGATCTTTTTCTAATGATTTCTAATGTTGCACAATATTACATGATTCAAACACTTAAACATATTTACATCATATTCTACCAATAAACAATTATTTAGTAATTATAACAGTTCACTTTGGGTTGTTTATATTTAATATACATCAATCAATAAATTAATTGAAATGAATTTAATAAGTTTATGATAAATATTTAAAATTATATTGAAATATCTCAAAATGATTAATTGCAAAATTTATATAATAAATACATTGCATAATATTTCATAAAAACAATTTAATTATATATCAATTACAGTATTCCTTATTTCATTGAAAATTTATATTAATTTAACTAATGTACGTTTTGTCATTGATATTAATTTTATTTAATGTATAACAAAATTATTATTTGGAAAACAAATGGTATGAGAGATTGATATAAATGACAATGATTTATACCACTTTAGAATGATATAAAAGATATATTTCTTCTCTATGTTAACTTGTTGAGCTAACACAATAATTAATGACTGTGCAGATTTTTATTTACAGAATACAGATATTGAATTGTGTGAAGAATATGTTTTATTTTGATAACGTTTTTCACTTGAATCATTTCTTTTTTTATTTTTTTATTTTGTTTTTTTTTTATTTGATTTGATTTGATTTGAGGTACCGATATATTCAATTAATTTTTACCATGTCATTGCCAATAAAGAAAATTTCATTTCTTTTTTTTTTTGTAAGAAATATCTATTTAAAATGACAAGCTGTTTTCTTCATTATAACGAATTAATATGATTAATCATTCTTGATTAAAATGAATGATAAGTAAAATAACGTATCGATCGATCAACTTTATCTATCATGATTCGTAATATCAATAATACGAGTATAATATGTTCTGTAGTTTCATTTAAGTACCTAATCAAACTGTATATTGTCTTAATTGAGCAATATTATTATTATTTGATTTTGATAGACTCATTTAATAACACTTAGAAATTGTTCACAATGAATATATTAAGAATTTCAAACAAATATTTCTTATTAATTGTAAAAATAAAATAAAAAAAAAAAAAAAAACACACACACAACACACAAATATCATCTGTATAAATCGTGCATTAGTTATTTTTTTTGTTTTTGTTTTTAATTAAACAATTATTTATTTATTTGTTTGTTTGTTTATAATGTTAAAATTGTATAATATTATCTTTGTATTTTCGAATGGAAAATGTATGTGTAAAAGATTTTAAATGGACTGATAGAACCATGGTCAAATTGTTTCGAGACATCACTTAAATTTATCCATTTGACCCCCATTTAATGGAATGAAAGAATAGTTACATAAATACACACGAACAAAGAAAAGGAAAGAATTAAATCTGTATGACATAATCATACGATCATTACACTGTAATCGTAAAGAATTCTTTCTTTGTATGTTTAATTATTTATTGTACCTTATATCTATATATATATATATATAAATAATTATTAAAATATCTTTTAGATTTTTTAACTGTATATATATATATATAATGAAATTATTAATTAATTTTAAATTTAAATAAATAACTGAAATAATTTGTGAAATATTATTTTGGTTTTGTTTTGTTTTTTCATTTTTACTATTAAATTTAATATAGTTATTTAATGTTTCAATATTTTTCAAATGATAATAAATTAATTTCAATTTCTTTTTTATATTTTAATAATATATATATACAAACTAATTTGATTGCTAATTAATCAAAATTATATAACAAACGTTTATATCTTTATAAAAAAAAAAAAAATAAAAAAAGGTTTGATTATGTTTGCTTTAATGTTGTTTAAAAAAAAAAAAAAAAAAGCCTGTTGATTTAAATATCATAAATATTAAACGTTTTAAATTTAATCATGCAGAATAGATTGATTATATAATTAAAGATAAATATATATAATTTATTATTGTGTGCAATTTTTATATACCTTATTATTTTTTTTTTAAATATCAAGATCTTGATTTCCAAATGAAGTGTATTATAAGAAATATATTTTATTCTATTGATCCCGTAAAAATCTAACAAGCAGTTTCAGTACTGCTAAATAAAACTGTTAATAATTCTGGTTCAGTTAAATTTCTTTTATATTTCTGAACCATATCTTGAATTTTTAATCTCCTTCTAACATGTGGTGGATGATAGCTATAAAAAGTAAAAGAATGTAATGAATTTATAAAACAAAACAAAAAAAAAATACAATAAAATAATGAAGTTATAATTGTATGAAAAGAAAAAAAAAAGAAAAATCTATAATTTAGTTTTGATACAAAAGAATTTATAATGAATCATACAACAAATATTTCTATAATTACCTGTCATTATCAAGTCTTTTACGTCGACCCATATTTAATGCTGTTTGCCTAACAAGAGTACCTAATACTCTTCTAGATACAACCATGCCATCAATTAATGGAGTGGCTAAATTTATCCTAGAAGTTGGACCTTGTAATCTAACTCTCATAAGTCCACTAGCAAGGGACTGAAGAAAAATCACTTGTACATCAGTAGGTTGAACTGTTCTACAATATTCTAAACCAGTATGTGTAAATGGTAAAAGATCTCCTATAAAATAAATGTTAAATATTCTGTTTAAAAATATACGATATAAAAAAGAAAATATACATTAATAAATAATTCATATACCAATTGGAAAATGAGTATAATCTTCCAAGCTTTCTAGCCATACCACCATAATCCTTGTATCTGTTTGTATTGGTAAAGCATGTTTTGTTGTTCTTCTTGGTCTAACAGGATCCGCACTTGAGGAACTAGGAGGACCTGAGCCTGAAAAACTTGATGGTTGCTTTTCAAAATCAAGTGACATTGTTCTTGCATTCTGTGGAATACTGCAGGAACGAGATCCTCCACTTTCACTAATACTTCTTTCAAACCAAGCTACATCAATGCAAAACATATTAAAAAAAATTAAATAACTAATATTATTATTTGATAACATTTGGATATTTACACTGAGCACCATTACTAGTGTCACTAGTATAACTAGCTTCTTCTAATGAATCTGAATTAGTCATAATAAATGATTGTGTTGGTACAACAAATGCAATTTCTGCACTGACATCAGCCCAATATAATACATGTGTATCACCATTGTAAAGAGAACCACCATGATCATTAGTACTTGACTGTGAAACATTCATTTGTGGTGTTACTTTCCATGAGGTATAAATATGACCAGTCCAACCAGCATGAGATGAAACTGATACTGGCCAACCAAGTGAATTGAGAAATTCCAAAAAATGTGGCGATACATTTTTTTCATTAAGCTGCAAAATATTAACATTTATTAATTTAATGTAATGTAATTTCTATGTAAAATATTTATTTTCATTTAAGTTTAAAAGAATAAACAAAATATTGAAAATTCTTACTACATTGGATAATATTTCAGGTGCTGTTTTTTGACCTGGTTTAACATAAAATATATGAACGGTATCACAGGTTCTTGAACTAATATTATCTAATGTTTCCAAATCTGTACAAAATCCTGGAATAGTAGGATCCAAAGCAGTAAGAGTACTATTTCCAGACTCTTCGCTACCTCTGTTTTCAATATTGAGAAAACCAAAGTGACTTAAGAATAAACGAGCTGTTTGGAATTCATGACATATTTGTGGTGGTGCACATTCTTCAGTTTTCTCATCTGTATCTTTATTATTGACATCGTCATACTTTTTTTCTAGATTTATCTGACGTTCTAATAATTGTGATAACAACTCATGTTCACTTCTAACTGATTCGTTATCGTTCATAACAGCCTCGAGACTAGGTATTGACTCATCACTGTTTTAACATATTTGTGTTGTATTTTTAAATTAGAATAGATTAGATTAAAATATAATACAGTATATAAAATTATATCACATAATGCTGTTTGAAAAAAAAAATAAAAAAGAAAAAAAAAGAAAAAAATTAACGATAACAAATACATACACTTTACAGTGAGGAATTCTATCAACATTGTCAGGAAAAAATTTTGGTTTATAATCCATTCTTGGTGCTGCTTCATTTAATGGTAATGGTCGACCAGGATTTGTATTAACACTTCTAATACTAGATCTGTGTCTTGGCAAATGTCGTAATTGTAGAGTCCATGCATGTCTACCAAATGGTCCACGTATTAAAACTGTTACTGTTGGTTGTGGATCCTGATCATTTCCAAGAGGTTCTTCTAATAAAGCTAAAATTGTTGCATTTTCAGCAACAAAGTAACGAAATCTTTCAACTGCTGCTTGTCGTGCAACACGACCACCAGTCCAACTATTGCAATGTCGAAGCAATGAAACTTCATCGAGTAAAGATGACAATGATTGTGCACCACAAGCACTAGGAAAATAACCAACCTAGCCAATAAGATAAATCACTCATTATTTAATATCAATTGTAATAATGTATGTAATAAATAATATACCTGTTCCAATATTATTGTAAGAAGAGCTTCAGCAGCATCTCTTACACGCATAGATGCTGGTTTCAATTCTTTTTCATCTTTCATTTTAATTGGTTCACCTGGTTTTCCAATACTTTTTGTACCTGATACTCCTAATTCAACTACTTCCAAGACTGTTGTTAAACAATCCTTATCCTGTAAAATTTGTATTAATATAACATCTGAAGTAGTAAGTTATATTATTGTATAAAACAAAAGATCAACCTGTAATAATTGAGAATGAGCAGTTAACCAGGTAGTTAAACAACCAAATGCTGCTACAATAGAAGAATGTAAATCTTTGGAATGTGCTGGAGGAGGTCGCCAACATTGGTATGCTATATAATCACATAACCATTTTACAGCTCGTTTGCATTCCAATGCATCTATAAAATAAAATTAACATTCTTATTATAATTGTGTTTGATTTTCAAAAATATTATGGTTTTTTTTTAATATTATTAAAATGTTTATCGAACCTGTAAGTTTCCTTGCTGCAAAAGTGTATATTAGAAATATATATATAGATGTATAGATGTATAGGTATATTGAAAAATAAATCAATGAATATAAATAGATAATTACCTGTTTCACGAATTCGTGTTCTTGCCAATCCTGATAACATTTCCAGTGCAGCCAAAGAAATATTTAAATCTGTTTTCCATGAAGATATCAACCTGTGACAAACTAGATATGTGGCTCGTACAAAAAGAGCATGTGCCGAATCTGTAACATTATTTCATTTTAGTATGATTTATTATTTTGATAAAATTACATAATATGAGGGCTGTTGTTTTTTTTTTTTTTTATATATATATATATATAATGAAATTGGATTTTTGATATAAGCAGGATTGTGAAAAAAACACTTTCTTAAAAAAAATATATTTTTGTGAAAGAATACAAATAAGAGGTAAGATGAACACAAAAACGATTACATTCCAGAGATCTGACAAGTAATAGCAGTACCAAGGTGAATAGTACTCGTATTTACCGAATGCAATGCATTCCTCTTGAAGAGTTGCTATATCAGAGGCATCACCGAGCGAACGTTGATCACTGGATATGCTTATTTGACTGGCTGAATCGCTGGTAACTATCAAGCGATGATGAGTACAATGGCAAATGCACAACAGAACACAATATGTAATAATAAAAAAGAATAACATTTCACAGAAGCATGTGTGAAGCAGGTACAATGAAAGGTGATATTAAGCACCATGCTTTCACTCTGCAATATCATACTGAGTTACAGTAATGTAGTATATACAGGCTTTAAATAAATATCAATACAAAAAAACTGTTACTTCTTCAATTAGATATAGCAAATAGCTTTTGCTACTCTCTGTTAGCGTAAATCAAACTAATTTTTATAATTTTATATATGTATAGAAATATAATTTACTTATTTATTTATTTGTTACAATATGTAACTCAGGACAGTGCATTTAAGATTGATAATTTAAAGCTAACGTTTTTTTTTTTTTAACAAACCTGAAGATAATAAATTAACTGATGTATCGTTTGGCACTGCATCTGGTTGTGTAACTTGTTCAACTTCCTCTGCTGCAGCAGAATCTTGTACACTTAGTAAAAGACCGCCTAAAAATAAAATATATAAACATTGTAAAATATCTTTCTATAAAAGAATTATTTTTTATAACTTACCAAGAAGCATATGAGTATTTTGAGGATCAGTTTCCACTTGTAATGCATTGATAAGCAAATTCATTAATCTTGATTTTAATTGTGCAAAAGTTACTTGAGTTTTTTCAGTAGATGTGTTGGGAAATGTTGGAAGTTCTTTAATAGGGAGATTCTACAAACAATATTTTAAAATTAAATAACATATTTGTGATATATGTAAATGATAAACATCATCATGAATTACCTGAAAGTGTAAGGGTAATGCTAACATCGATATTAGTAAATGTATTGAAGCTCTTCTTAAATCTGGTTTTGAAACAATATTAGATTTTAATTTTAAATCTTTCTCAGGGAGTACAAGTTCCAAGGCAGATAATACTGCAGGTACTAACACTTGTACGCCATTTAAATCTAAGCGAAATAAATCAGACGAATTCAAAAGAATATATGCTAATGTTTCGCCACACTCTCTTGTCTGTAAAATACATAAGAAAACATGTAAATAAATAATTGCAAATAAATTATAAATAACAAAGAGAGAGAGAGAGAGAGAGAGAGATGCTTACATCATCTAATTTCAGACCATGATGCATTGCTTGATAAAATCTAGCTAAATAAACAGGTAATATTTCTTCTCCAGTTTTTTTGGCACAAAAAATTCTACACAGTGCACCCATAGCTTCTGCTCTACCTGATTCATAACGATCTATGTAAAGTGTAGGAGGTACTTCACTAACAGTTTCTTGTAATGAACTTGGACCATCTACAAGTACTGAGGATGGACGTTTTGATGCACCTGATGGCTCTGTGAAAAATAAAATATTATATATTATTTAAAAAATATAATAAAAGCTTCTAATATTAGAAGAGAATAAATACATACGTGGTAAATTTTGTGACCATCCATTTGTTCCTATAAAAGCAGCTTCAAACAACCATTCTCCAAAAAGATGTAATATACTATTACACTTTGGTCTTCCTGGTGCTAAAGGAGGTCGAATATCTTGACCAAGTGAGGTCATAGCTATAATTATAAAGTATTTCATTATCAAATCTATTTGATAGTAAAATTGCGGTATCATGAAATATCTTACAAGTTGTACTAGATGCTGACGATGGTCCTGAATTTGATATCAACATTGGAGGTGTACTAGACACACGACTGGTTGTTAAACTAATCAAAGAAGCTTTTGGTATTCCTGTATAATCAAAGCAATAAAATTAAAATAAATAATAGATTATTGTTAAATATTATTCCATTTTTACATTAACTTCCACATGGAAGAAGATTTCTTTTCAGCTCTTGCAATAATACAAAGGAAAGAGTATAAAGATAACAGATGAAATGATATACAAGTTGAAAGTAGCATAAGAAATATGATAGCAAGGAAAAGTATAAGATGCTGAATACCCTTAGTAACCGCAGAAGGTGTAACACTGAAACTTTTGGCAAGTCGGCGTTGTGTTGGAGGTGTAGGGGAAGGTTGTGGTTGATCCTTGCCACTCGATCTGTCCCACCCAACACCTATGTTTCCATTATTATTGCTTCCAGATGCAATGTTGGATACACAACATTCTTCCCAGCAACATGCTTGTGAAACTCCTAAAACAATTGTGTGAATGTGCACCCACCACCTATGAGTGATCAAATTGTTAAGCAACTACTTGTGCTCTACAAAATGTTTGCAGAAAAAGAAATTATTAACATAAAGAAATAATAAATATTGTTTGGAAGTAGTAATATATATATATATATATAAAAGATAGTTTTAAACTATACAGAGATATTTGTACAAGTCCAAAATTTATTATATACGTTTTTGTTTGATTGGTTGATGAGAAGTTTAACTTACCAAGAAATGCATCAACTTGTCCAGCTATTCCTTTGATAGCTTTCAAAAATATTTGTGGCAATCCTTGTAGACATGGATGTTGACAAGGATCTATAACATTTGGACTAGCAATAGCATATTGGAAAAATGCTTGAGTTTGTGATACTACAGCTGGTCTGCATAAATCCACAGGATCTCCAATAGTTCGTAAAAGTCTGTACCATGCTTGTGCAACAGCTTCCTCTGACATAGTTGGTGGTACTAGTTGTGCATCCTCTTCGCCTACAAATAAATCATTAATAATATCTTAATACGTATACCTACATTATATATAGAATTAATTGAATTTACTAACTTATTTTTAATTCTGGAAACATTGGTCCATACATGATTTGTAAAAGTCGTGCTGTAAGTGCTAGACACACACGATTCCATTGTTCTATTAAAGCTAATCTGTGTCGCCAACGAAGACATGACTCTCGTAATGTACGCCATAAAGGAGGAGCAGGAAAATTACGTTCACAAGCTACCAACCATACCTAAAATAAAGATTTCATTTATATTTCATACGATAAAATTATTAGTACGTAATAAAATTCTGAATACCTCTAATAGTACACCAAGTACTCTTTCGCATAATTGTTCACCAGCATCTTCCCTTGTTGCTGGTGGTGCTAATAATGCATCATTAATTCCAATAAGAAATAATAATAAACTTTCCCAAGTTTCTCTTTCTAATGATGCTGGACCTCTTGCAATTTGTTGAAGTGTTCTAAGCACTCTATGGCATAATACAGCTTGTCTGTTTATAGTATCACTTCCTATAAATATATATGATTATTATACAACAGATATATAATGATATGAAATCAAAAGTCCAGAGTGATTTTTTCTAAAAATAAAAGTATTAATATACTGTATTACTTATTACCTAAATCCTGATATAAAAATGGCCAGACTATGAAAAGAGAAGAGGATCAAATATATAAGTAGAAGAATATTAAATCTAAAGAAATATATTTATATATATATATAAGAATAAATAGAAGAAAAATAGTGTTTTTTATAAAATGATCATTTTTACCTTCTCCTTTTCGTGGAATAAATAAATTATGAAAATGACTTATAATTTTTCTAGCATAGAAATTTGGATCATCTATTATCGGTCTTGGTACAGAAATTTTTGGTGTAGAATATAATGCGGATAACCATTCACAATATACATTAACGCAATCTCTAACAGTATCATGTTCAGCCAAAGGTAAAGAAAGACCATAACAAATAACTTCCATACACCATTGTACTTCTTTATCGGTGCATAATGGACTAGGTTCTGCTGCTTGAGTTATTCCAAGATTAGCAGCTAGTTGACGTACTATAGATAATGCGACTTCTTTTCCTGCTCCAGGTGAAAACTTTTCTAGTACACTTTGACTTTCTTCTGAACCTTGTTGAATCAGAATGCTTAAAGAAGCCCATTCTGAATACATTCCTCCTTGGGAATCCTGTAATAATAATAATAATAATAATATTATAAATAAATATTATTAAATTACCTTGAAATATTTATATGATTGATTTGATACTTACTTTATGATTGACTCTATTGAATACGCCTAAATTCATAGATTATTGTATACTATACATTCAAAAATTATTTTTAGTTCAATTTAACAAAATCAATGACTTTGTTTGATGCACTTCAATGAATATTGTTCACTTCATATAGTATGTGTGTATATATATATATTGTACGTTTTAAGATAATGCATTATCTTATTCATTTCCAATGTCAAGAAAAAATGCAATTAAATGATCTTTTATTTATATTACTTATTAATTATGTCGTTAATGTCAAACCTAATTATAAAGAAATTAACATATTTTCTTTAATTGATACTAATTAAAATATTAATATATATATATATTTATTTTTAACCTATACGTCTGTAATAGAATTAAAATATAAAATGCATAATATATACATAAAGATATGTATAATGTATATGCATATGTCAAAAAGTTGCCAAAAAATATTGAGGTTAGAATATCACAGAAAAGATAATTAACTTCTTTTTGTAATACCTATCTATCTCTTATAACATAGTAAAAATACTTAAAGAATTATTTTTAACAAAATCATACATTTTATATCACTGAATATTGATTTTTTCTTCCATAAGAAATTAATATCTTTAAATACTACACTGTTTTACACCATTTCACAATATTCAACTAAAACACTATGATGTAAGGTTCTAGTTGAAAAAGTTACCATATGAATTCTCCAATTTATAGATGGCGCTGTGATGCTTTTGTAGAATATTCATTGAACTGTCAAGTGCTTTTGTGGTTATGTCATTCCTAGATATAAAAATACAATAATTTTAGTAAAATAAAAGTTTTATTATATTTATATCTGTTCAGATATTATGTTTTCAATCTTATAGAATTTAAAATAATAAGAATGATATAAAAACGTTACATGCAATAAAATAAAAGGATTAAAAAATATTTAATCTTATTTATAATTAGAATTAAAAAAAAAATATCAATAAATAAAAAATATTTTACAAATTATAATACAAATTCTTAAAATAAAACTATAATTATTATTATTATTATTATTTTCTCTTATAAACCAAATAGAGACTTAAGATCATTAAGCGTTAATTTTGAGGTTATTTTGTTGTTTCCACCACTTAATACGTTTTCAGATATTGACAATTTTTTTTCTTGCAAATGTTTGATACGTTCTTCTATAGTATCTTTACAAATAAACCTATAAAAATGAAAATGATTATGACATATATATATTTTTTTAAAATACGTTTAAATTAAAAAAATAAAAATTAAGATATTTTACTTATAAATGAATACGTCTTTTTTCTGGCCAAATCGATATATTCTATCTTGTGCTTGAGACTCTAATTGAGGATTCCAATGAATGTCTATAAGTAACAGATGATTTCCTCCAACAAGATTTAATCCAACTCCACCAGCAGTGAGTGAAAGTAACAAAATTTTTGGATCTTTATTTGGATCATTGAAAGATTCTATTATGCTCTAAAAAAAAAAAACATGTCACATGTATATAGAGATTTATACTATGAATGCATTTAAAAGTACATTAATTATAAATCATAATAATAAGAATAATCTCTTACTTGTCGATTTTTAATAGGAACTCTGCCTGAAAATTCAGCATACGTAGCTCCTTTTATCGAAGATAAATGAGATCCAATAATTTCAAACATGCTTGACCATTGTGATACAATTATAAGTTTATCATTCTTTCCTATAATTTCTTTTACCGTACTAAATAATACTTTCATCTATATCAAAATAATATATATATAATTCATGTGTTTGATATAATTAATTGCTATGTAAAAATTAGAAAAAAAAAAACGAACAATTACTTACTTTGGAACTCAACCGATCTGCTTCAAATACTGGATTTGATGAAGTAAGTAAATTTTTTGTGAGTTGTTTGTCAATATCAATCTCTTCGTTATTTATATCTTGATTTTCTTGATTTTCGTACAATGACATATTATTTATACGAGATATAAGATCATCATTATTTTCATCTACTATTCCACTTTCTTCTAGATCACTTTTATCCAACATAGCATGAATTAATGTTGGATGGCAACATACTTGACGAAGACGTAATAAAAGTACCAAAATTTCATGTGATTTAACATCAGCGTGGAGAGACAATAATTTATTTTGAGCTTTTGTAAATTGTGTTTTTTTATCTACAACAAAATAAATAAAATATTTATTATAGGTTATTAATCAAAAAAAAAAAAATTATTATTATTATTATTTTGTATAATATATCTTATATATAAAATATAAAATTTACTTGGATTTGACATATACGTTGGTTTATCATATAATCCAGATGATAAATCTACCATGTGATCTTTTTCTGCTCTTTGTGCTAAAAATTGTGCAAAAAGTGTGCGAGAATATATTAAAACTTTTTCATAAACTAATTTCTCTTGTGGATCAAGATTAACTTCAATTTCTTGGATACTTTTATTAGGTAAGCTTTCTAAAGCACCCTGTGATTGAAGCTCTTGTTTGGTTCTACGAAGCATCAAACTTTTTATAAGTGTGGCTAATCTTTGGTGACCAGCAGTATTTTTATTATTATCTACCCAACGTTTCCATACACGAATATCATCAAAAGGTGAACATTTTAAAAATTTTAATAAAGAATATAAATCCATTTCTTTATTTTGTATAGGTGTACCGGTTAGAGTCCACCTTTTATCCGCTAAAAGTCCGCACACTGCTTGAGATGCTTGACTTTTATGATTTCTTATTTGATGAGCTTCATCTAAAATGACCCTTTTCCAATGAATCTAAAAATAATGAATTCAAGTTTAAATGTAATATATTTTAATGAAATTATCTATATTATCGTATTGCATATATATATATATATCATAATTATATACCTTATATGTTGTAGACATAGTTTTAAACTCGCGAGATAATATATTGTATGTTGTAATAACAACATCATACTTTGCTAAACGTTTAGACACTTTTTCTCTATTATTACCATGATAGACTTCAACTGATAATATGCCTTTTCTACATTTACTTTTTATTTCATTCTCCCATTGTGATAATAGTGACGCTGGACACACAACGAGTGTTCCACCTCTACAAGCTTACAAGTAAAAGTTTTATTTTAAAAACATATAATATGAAAATATATAATTCATGATTTAGTAAATTAATCATATTTGAAAACTCTTCATATTTTTAATTACAAATATATTTTATACATACTTATAGATTTATTTGAAGTATGCCATTCTTCATTATCACTGTCTGAATCATCATCTTGATTGTGTGTGGCCATAATTAATGATATCATTGTTAAGGTTTTACCTAATCCCATATCATCAGCTGAATATTTTCAAATGATAATGTATTAGTACAAAATACAAAATGTAAATGAAAAAATGTAAATGATTATTAATCAACAATAATGTATGATTAATACCTAATAAACCACCGGGTGGTCGTTTTTTCTCCCTCCACATTAACCATGCCAATGCATGTTGTTGATGTGGCATTAATTTAACTTTTAAGCCAGGCGGATCTTCGGCTCTTGTGTCCTCTGACGGTTGACCTACTAGAGATCCATGTAAATCTTGAAGTCTTTCTGCTGTTAACGTAAATTGACGATCAAAAGTTTCTTGTGCTCGTTTTCCTAATTTCTTTGATTCTTCTGTACTTTTGGCAGATTCCATATAATCCAATTTTGAATCAGATTGCTGAAATTTCTCTTTTTCTTCTTCTTCTTCTTCTTCCTTAGACGTACTTTGTTCATTTATTTCTTTAATTGGTTTTACCAATGTTGTTTTTTCTAATTTTGCTTTTATTTCCTCCATCTCTTTGGTTTGTAATATAATATTTTGTTGTAACTTTTCTCCTTTATCTGGTAATAAATCTAAATTTGCAGTATTGAGTAATAACTAAAAGTAAAACATTTTTAAAATTAGTATAATATATTACAAATGTATATTAAATATATCTTCTTACTTTTGTTTTATCTATTTGATTTTGTAGATGCTGTAATTTACAAGTAAGAAGGGCTCTTTCTTGAGCTATTAGTGGGTTTATATTATCAACTCCTGTTTCCTCTATCGCAAAAGACATTGCTGTTGCATTTTCTTCACTATTCCTTATATTTGGTATATACTCTAAAAGTTAATTTTTCCATGATTTTAATTATTTATCTCTTTCTTTACTTTTTTTTTTTTTTTTTTAATATAAGTGTTTATATTAAATCTATGAAAATCTAAAGACTTGTCATTAACCTTTGCTTACCACACTTGATCCAAAAGACCTAGAACCTTTTTTCTCAATTGTACTCAACTTTGGTAATTTTCTTAAACATATTTCAATTTAATTTAAAGCTATAAAACCTATATAATCTTTTTAAGTAAGTATTAAAGAATTCTTAAAAAAATGTTGAAGTAAATCTATGCAATAGTTTCTTTTTTATAACGATTTTTCTCGTCTCGGGTGTGGTAAGCGTTTTACTCCAAGAAGGGTGGTAAGCAAAGGTTAATAAAATAATATTGCATAAATGAGTTATATAATACCTAGATCTGAATCTGAATCAATATCACAATGAGTTAAGTTCACAATAGATAAATTTGTGTCCTCTGGACGACTAAAATTAACCTTAGATGGTTCATCGTCTTGTAAACTAATATTCATTTCTTCTTTTTCTTCCTCATCATTAATCAATTCTTGTTTTGAATGATCATAATCACTAGTATCAGTAATGTTAACAGAATCATTAATAGTACCAGAATAATTTCCAGATTTGCGTTCTTTTACATTTTCCTTTGAATAATCATGTGTAACATCTTTCCTTTTATAGTTTTTATTAGCATTTGTAGAATTCGATTTGAAATCATCTGTTAAATTAAATCAAATTATCAGATTCTTTAAAACATCAATTTGTAATCATTAATAGATATTTGTATACGGTATGTTTTTGTTATTGGTAGTACAAACGAATTAAGGGAATGATTCTATTTAAAAAAAAAACTGAATTACATAGAATAAAATTTGTTTAAATAAGAATTCGTTTAAAAAAGAAATAAATTTAAAAATTTGTCGAGTATGAGTACATATTTTATATAAATTGTATAATACATAAAATATACCATCTGAAATATAGACTTCTGCTTCTGATTCAGATTCTGCTTCTGATTTAGATTCTGCTTCTGATTCAGATTCTGCTTCTGATTCAGATTCGGCTTCTGATTTAGATTCAGATTCAGATTCTGATTCTGATTTCGAATTAGATAATTTGTCATCATTAACATCACTAATATTTTCTTCATCTGAATAAATTATTAAATGTTTCTTTAAATTGTTCTTTTTTCTGTTAACATTTATTGGTGAAGAATGTAAGTCCAATGATTTCCTTTGAACATAAAAATAGATAATAATTATAAAAGATTTTCTATTGACTTCTGTAATGATTAAAGACAAAGAACAATAGATAGAACAAAAAAAGATATAATCATAATTGTTAATTGTATACAAAGCAGATAATACTATTTATTCATACAAATGTTATTTTTTTTTTTAATTCTACAATTTACTTTTTACAATGATTTTATAATTAAATTATATTATTAATAATTGTTTACTCACCTTTGTATCGAAGTAGATTCTTCTTCGTCACTACTATCAATTACAATAGCTTGTCTTACACTTGTAGATGTTATATCATTTTCACTATCTAATATTGCTGAAGAACTTTCTTCATTAAAACTAGTGGAAGTATTATTCCACATTCTCAATAAATTATTCTAATAAATTATTTTAAAGTCTTAATATAAAATAATCTAGAGACTGATCAATTTGAAATAAGATTTAACGATAAGTTGCTCCTCTTATAACAAATCATTTTCTTCTTCAAAATAAACGGTTAATTTCAAATTATCCAATCACGTTAGGTCTATGAAAAAAGCTTTAATAGATACGCTTTTTTCTCGAACTTTCTTTCGTCATGAAATTTAGATTTCTAGATTGGTCAAATGTTATTAGATAATTTTATAAATCATTTATATTCTTTCTGTAAATGTTTTAAATGATTTCTTTTTAAAATATATATAAAAATGCATTTCTAAAGGTACACACACATGTTTATACACTTAAAATTAAATATATTTATTTAAAATTTTATTATAATATAATTTTATACTATATATACTATTTAAAAATATTCTATTTTAGATAATTTTAGTTATGCGAATAGTGAGCTTGAAAGTTTTTGTTTACTTTTATATTCTTTGATTTTATACAGGTACCATAATTACCAATTGTCTATAAGTAATAATCTATAAAATCATTATTTATAATAAAAATGTCATTTACATGCATAGTTTTTATTATTTGATGAATATTTAAAAATAATGTATGTAATTTTACCATTAGTGAGATTTTCTCCCACGTGAGAGCCTTCGTGCGCATGCGAAGTTATAGCTCGCACATGCGCATGCGCTTACGCATGCGAAGTCATAGCTCGCACATGCGCATGCGTTTGCGCATGCGAAGTCATAGCTCGCACATGCGCATGCGTTTGCACATGCGAAGTCATAGCTCGCATATACGCATGCGCTTGCGCATGCTACATCACAACTCGCGCCTGTTGTTTTCATAGTCGTAGGTACCCGTAAGGAGAGCCCTTCCATAGTCTTTTCTCGTATTTTTCGTTACAGTTAAGGTGAGCTGCATAATGTTATATAATATATTAAATTGTAGTATAAATATGTCATTTCTTTTAAAAATGTCCACTTTTTGTAATTTTTCAATTGTCACGGGGGTCTAATGATACCCCATATTTGAGTGAAGTATACACGTTATTGAGAATTAGTTAGTGCGCATGCGTGAGAAAAATCTCGCGTCCTGGCATCACTGTTTACTAGTTCTATGATAGACGACAATATATTTGTAGTAAATAAATTTAATAAGTGTAAAAGTGTAATTTTTCCTTTGACGTAAGGTTTAACAATTTCAATAAAAAGACATTTATTTTTTTCAACGTGAATAATTATCAAATATTCTTAACCTATTTTTAAAATACAATTACAATTCGTATAAAATGGACAATATATTTGGAAAAGAAGATTCAGAGAATGAAAGTGAGCCTATAGAATTAGATGATAAAGATGATAAATATGACAAAGATGATAAATATGACAAAGATGACAAAGATGACAAAGATGATAAAGATGACAAAAATGATACAGATGATAAAAATGATACAGATGACAAATTTAATATGTCATTAGGTTCTTCAATATCTAAGGATAATGACAATATGGATTTAGATGGACCAATAAAGGTAAATTATTATATTAATAAATAATAATTCATTGCATTTATGTGTCATGATCAATATATTATTTTAGGGAGAACTTGATACAGCAAGTTCCCAATCTCAATCAGATACAGAAGAAATAGGTTCTAATTCAATATGCATGACAACGGATGATCAATTAGAAATAGTAAAACACGAAATAGAAATTAAAGATGAAGAACCAAGTACAGAAGATATTTTTGGCAATGATATTATGTTACCTCAATCTAATCATACGACTATTAAAGAAAGAAGAGAAAGTAAGGAAAAAAGTAAAAAGGAGTTGGAAGAGGAAGAAAGAGAGAAAATGCAGTAAATATATCTTCCTATTTTTATCACAGGTATAACATCATATACTTTGTTATTGCATTTATCAAATGTTCATTTTCAGAGTACTTGTTTCTAACTTTACGGAGGATCAATTGGATAGATATGAAATGTATAGGCGAGCTGCATTTCCAAAAGCAGCTATAAAGAGGGTATATATAATAAAATAATATTAATAATGTTCTGTAATAATATTATAATGTTTATAATAAGTTATTTTTTATATTATAGATTATGCAAACTATAACAGGTTGTTCTGTATCTCAAAATGTTGTTATAGCAATGTCAGGAATTGCTAAAGTGTTTGTCGGTGAAATAGTAGAAGAAGGTAAAGTTAAGAATTCTTTTTATCAATATTTACATGAACATATATAAAATAATTATATGTTTTATTAAAGCTTTGGATGTAATGGAAGCTAGTGGAGAAACTGGACCATTACAACCTAAACATTTAAGGGAAGCAGTTCGCAGATTAAGACTTCAAGGACAAATTCCAAATGGTCGTGCACATAAAGCATTTTTTAGATTGTAAATTAATATTGAAATTCATTTTCTTCATATAGCTTTCGTTTTTATTGTAATTAAAGTAATCATTTTAAAATAGCAGAAATTGTATATAATATTAATTATAATATATTATAGTAATGTTCTGTATTTTTAATAATTGATTGTGAATTTTGACTGTTTAAAAATATTATTATATTTATATTTTTATACTCTTATAAATGATATATATATATATATTTATATAACATTTTCTGTTAAAAAAAATCAACATGTAATATTAAAATAATAATATTTATTTTATTAACAGTATATTTATATATACAGGATGTTTCATAATCAAATATATATGTAAATAATAATATGAAACAAAAAAAGTTCATATTAAGAAACACCTTGTATATATTAAAGAAAGAATTGAAATAGATAACTTCTCTCTGTAATGAATTCAATGAAAAGTTACAATTATGTTACAATGTAGTAATATATTTTAATTATTTGTTTAACTATTGTAACCTGTCTATTTAACTTAGAACTTTGATAGAATTTTTAGTTGCGAATGCATCGCACGAACGAACAAAACATGATATGCGAGTGTTCTTTGCGTTATTGTTGACGCATTATTTTCATTTTGTAATATTACTAAGTATAAATAATGAATTAACTTTCAATAGATTGAATGATATTAAATATAATAAGAAATGTATTCCTAAAACGTATAAGAATATTAATTTCTGTTACAAAGATGATTATACGACACAAAAATATGTTCATTCATTAATTAATCAAACAATATTTGTTAATAAATCAAAAGTAAGTTTTCATAAATATTGATTTTATTATTGAAATATTAAAGAATAATACTGTTAATATTAAATATTATTATATTTTAGATGTATCCTCTTAAATTACAATCAAAACATGTTTACACATTGGAAAAATGCATTAATTCTTTTGATAAATATCATCAACGAAAGTTACTTATTTATGAAGAAAAAGATATTTCTGAATATTTGTCTACATCTAAAAATGATTGGAAAATTAATGAGATAACGACATCACAATATTTTCATTTACGACAAAGAAAACAGAATGATTTTGAAAACGATGAAGAAACAACTAACGAAGAATGTACACATGAATTATATAAATGATTATATAAATAATATATTTCAATGTTTCTAATATATTTTTCTTTTAATTTCAGATTCAGATGACTGGGATGACTGGGATGATTGGGGTGCTTGGGGTCCATGTAGTGTTACTTGTGGATGTGGACAACAAGTTCGTTGGCGTCATTGTATTACAGATGATTGCATTAAGGGTTTAAAAAGAGCACAAATAAAAACTTGTCATCTTAAACCATGTGATAAAGGTTTCTTAAGTTGGTTGGGCATTAAGCTTAAATGAAACTTTTAAGTCATAAAAATCAATTTCTAATTATTAGGTGTTTCATTTGTATTATTTTATAATTTTATGTTCATAATTATTAAATAATATACAAATTCTAAATGTATATGCGTATAAAGAGTTTTACTTACGTAAACTTTTATCAATATATATATATATATATATATATATATATATTAATAAATATAACAAATATTTGGAATAGACGATGTTCAATTTCTTGTTGAAAATATAAAATGGTTGTTTTGTTTATAATAATACATTTATACACGTTATGTAATACTTTTTATACGTATACAATTTCTATAGTATAATAATTGTATATACTTATTACAATTTAATTGAGGAAATCTGTAACATGTAATTAATTGTTTTTTTTTTTTTTTAATGTTTTTAATTTTCAGATTGATTTTTCCAAATGGTTGACATTAAAAAGTTTCAACATTTGAATTTATAATACTATTTTGTGGATTTCGCATGAAAAATGAAAAAAAGGTTCTAATCTATTTCTAGAAAATAGTTAATTAACATTCAACTAAGTGTATATGTAAGTATTTAAGTAATTAATTATTAATTTACAAGTTAATGTTATTTCTAGTAAATTTTCTAACAACCACGTATTGCTTTTAATCTTTGTTATTATAAATACTATAATACGAAAAATCGAGAATATCAATTAGGTATTAGTTTGTTTTTAAATATTGAAACAAACTTTATTGAGAAGGAAAATGTTTCCAATGCATTATAATTTAAAATATGAAGAATTACTTTACTTTGGTTTCATGATTAGATATATTTATTTTTTTTAATTATATATTATTCATTATTAATCTTTTTTGTTTTTGTTTTAAATACATCATTCGTAAGAACTTGTAGAACATTGAAAATATTTTTATTCTATATATGAGAAGAATTATATACATAATTTAACATTTGTTTCATTCATCAAGACTAATTATCTCATAAAGAATAGAATTTGTTTGTATTAAATTTAACTAAAGAGAAATTTAATAACAATATTACTTATTTTTAATTAATTGAAAGACAATAATAAAAAAAAAATAATAATATCAATAATAATAAAATAATAATATACAAAAATACACACACGCACACACTCACGCATACATTTATAATAAATAGATATTAATATATATATATATATAGTTGTTATACATTTTACAGTTTTACTGCAATAAATGTTTAAGGACTTAATTAGTTATTGAAAAATTAGCCATTGTATATGTAACAAAAACTTCAAAAAAAAAAAAAAAAAAAAAGAACAAAATGTCAAATGTAAAATTCGATATTACAGTTGTGTTTCTTTAAAAGTATAAATTTAAGACCAGAGTTTCATTCATGGAAGACATCATTTTATTACTCCACATTGAAATAATCTTCTGTTTTGTAAATAGTTGGGGACTGGAATGCTTGAGGTTTGTTTCCTATCACAGATTCCTGGGATTTTTTCTGTAATAAGATTCTGTATAAGCAGTAAAATCTTATCCATCATGTAAATATCATTTATACTTACGAAAAAGGATAATGGATTAAGAATACCAAAGAATCTATCCGTAACACCTAATTCAGCTTCTGCTGTATCAACAGCTGTTTCTAAAGCTGTTAAACTTACATTAGCAGCTATAAGAACATGTTCGAGAGCATCTATTTTTCTACAAAGTGTTACTAATTCTTTTTGCATGTGTCGTATCCTTGGAATGTGTTCGTTCATGCATTCTGAACTTTCTGCTTGTACCTTGAAATCATGAACAAAAATATGATAAATAACTGAATTATATATTTAATATACAAACCAATCGTTTACCAAATTGATCAATTCCACGATTCAGTAATATATGTTGTCTTGTTAAAAAAATATTACTTTCCATTGGATTACTAAAATTAAACAAGGATGGGTATGGATGATTATTTTGAATACACCATATGCTGTTGACTTCAGGGTTGTTATAGTTGGAAGATGTCAAAATTTATCAAACCCATAAAATTGTATTCGTTTAGTGATGTTAATTATTAAACAAATTTGTTTGAAAGATTACAAATGAAAATTGTAAAAGTGGAGTTAATTGTTTTTGGTTTACGAATGGGTTATTAGATTATTAATTGTACAAAATATAATTCATATTTCTTTCTAACCATTCCAACTATAGATTGAAATTCTTCCAAACGTATCATAACATCTTCAATAGTTTCATGAAATTGTTTCATCTAAAATAAATAAATAAATAATTTGAAAATATTGACACGTATATATAAAACACCATAAAGAATTTAAATGAAACATATGATTTAAGGGTTATACAATAGAAATCACACTTGCTTTAACAGACAAGTTGACTTTTGCATAATCTGCATAATCCTTTGCTAATTCTTCTATCATATTTTCGTTATGTGAGGAAGACATGTGTTTGGAAATTTTCTAAATAATCTATGATAATGTTTAATAACGTTGGAAGAAGAATCTTAACACATACATACACACACACACACACATACACACGTTATTATTGCTGTTATACAATATTAATGATATTTTATAGGATATTAAATCGTATTAAATTTTACGAGAGTAGAACAAATTTTGTAGATTATTATAAATTTTATTTTATTTTTGTATGATTTTTTAATATTTTTTTTGTTTTTGTTTTTGTTTTTTTTCTTAAAATTAAATATTAATTAAAGGCCAGCATTACTTTGATCTCGATGCGCATGCGCAACGACGACAAGTGTTTGATCGATGTATCGAAGTAAGGCGCGAATTTGAACGTACGTTTAATTTACTATTAGAAAATATAAAAAGAAGAAAAAAACAAACAAACAAACATGTTCGGAAAATTTTTATAAATAATCTATGATGATGTTTAATAACGTTGGAAGAAGAATCTTAACACATATACACACATACACACGTTATTATTGCTGTTACACAATGTTAATTATATTTTTTCAACGATAAGATATTATCGTATCAAATTTTACGAGAGTAGAATGAGTTTTTTTAGATTATTATGAATTTTATTTTATTTTTGTATTATTTTTAAATGTTTTTGTTTTCTTCTTAAAATTAAATAATTAAAGGCCAGCATTACTTCGATCTCGATGCGCATGCGCAACGAAGTAAGGCGCGAATTTGAACGTACGTTTAATTTACGATTGGAAAATATAAAAAAAAAACAAATAAACATGTTTTCCAATCGTGTCAAGGTGATGAACAAATCATTTACATACCCGTTAGATTGTGTCATATTTGTTTTATTCTAATATTACATACAATTAACATTTTTACATCTTATTTAATTACTTTTGTGTATGTGTGTATGTGTGTATTGAGACAAATAAATTGCAGAGAAATTACGAAATAAACAAAAAACAAAAAAAAAAGTAAACATAACGATTAATTTTTCATAGGTTTTTTTTTTCTTTTTCTTACTTATCGAATAAACAAGTATTAATGTAAAATTATTTTGAAAAATATTTTAATTAACGTTAATTCATTATAATTTATTCATCGATCTATTTTTTTTTTTTTTTTTTTTTGTTTGCATTTATCATTAGAATCTTATTGCGACGTATTTATTTTCGTAACAAATTTTCAATTTAGCATTACGAAAAAAGAAAAACGTTTCGATAATATATCATACTTTCACTTTCTATATTCTTTTTCTTTCTTTTTCGTTTTCGTTTTCGTTTTCGTTTTCTTATTACGTACACTCGATTTTCTTGTTTCGATTCTTACTTTCTCATAACGTGATAATGGATCTAATAAATACTTTTTATACTCTTACCTGAGATCCAGTTGTTTTAACCTGATGTTTTCTCATGCAACTGTACTGTTGACGTAAAGTCTGCACACAACCTTTATTTTATATATATAGATCTATATTACAGGATAATTATTTATCTTTTTTCAATCTTTTCATTAATAACAGAGAAAAATAAAAAGTGATTAACGTTTTATTACAATAAACATTTATTAATCATTTTCTATTATCGTCATAGTTTCTTTCCAATGTTTTTACAATTCCCGTTACATAAGTTGTTATAATTTATATTATTTTCTTTTTTTTTTTATTGTTATTCATGTTAAATTTAAAATTAATTTATAATTAGAATTAAATACATATTTTGTTCTATAATGTAAATTGATGTGAATAATGTTTTGTATTAATGTAATAATATTTTTGAATTTTTTTATATTATTATCATAAATAATTGTTTTATATATATATATGTGTAACTATGAGAAAGTTTAATAAATTTTTATATGCGCAGTTAAAAGAGAAATAAAACAGATATAACAATAAAGTGAAAGGAATATTTGTCGATAATCATAAGACTATATATAATAAAAAAAGAAAAAGAAAAAGAAACATAACAATGACCAATCATATTATTTTCAATCTTTTTAAAGAAACAGAATACTATATTTATTCTTGGTAAATATTAAACATTGAAAGAGGATGTAAAAATATTGAAGAATTGTTAAATATATTTGACTTAATATTTTCGTGACTCGAGGTTTAATTTTAAATGAAAACTGAACAAATATATATATATTATATTCGTTCGTTTATAGTTAATTGTTATTATTAATTAACATATAGAAATATAAAAGAAGAAAGATAATATAAAATAAAAGAAATACATTTTAACATAGTGAAATATGATGTAATAAATTTACACGTTAATATTTGATTTGTTTCGTTATTTCTTCTTAAAGTAAAATAATATACGAAGATGTGATGTAATCACAACAATATTATTTTGTAATAAAACTGTACGGGTCATTTGTGATTACTGTTATTATGTTGATTTAGATTTCATTTTAGAATTTTTACATTTACGATGAGGTATATATATATATATATATAAAGCTTGTGTAGTAGACAAAGAATTAGAGATTTTAGTTTTAGTTTAGTTTAGTTTAGTTTATAGAGCATGGTTATAATATATTCTAGAGAAATCAGAAGAAAGAGAAAAGAAATAAAGTTAAGAAATACATGAAAATCAAATAAAAAGAGAAAGAGAAAGTTCGTCACATTTCTTTGAGAGGTAGAATTTTAATTATATAAATGTTTCATTATTATTCAGTTATTTATATTATTATTTGTGCACACATTATATATAATAATATTATTTATATTAATTGTGCATACATTATATATAATAATATTAATTATATTATATATTATTTGTATTTTATTATAATTCAGTTATTTAGTTTAATTTTGTGTTATATTATTTCTATTATTATTTGTACACGTTATATATAATAATGTTATTTATATTAATTGTGCACACATTATAGATAATATATAATATTATTTATATTATTATTTACACATATTATATATAATAATATTATCTATATTATTATTATTATTTGTGCATTTTATTATAATTCAGTTATTTAGATTAATTTTGTTATATTAATTATATTATTATTTGTACACATTATATATAATAATATTAATTATATATTATATATTATTTACATACATTATATATAATAATATTATCTATATTATTATTTGTGCATTTTATTATAATTCAGTTATTTAG